GACTTGGCTTTTTGGAATTTACAGTCTCGGCTTTTAGGGAAGGTTTTTATATTTGTCTGTGGATATCCAGGGCTCATGTATGAGATTACTAACAAGCATTACTGAATAATCAGATGAGGGACAGACAACATACCTTTCTTAAACTATTATGTTTAGATACAAATGCTGTCTTGGTTGTTAGGTTCTCAATAGGTTTTGTGAACTGAGTAAATACTGTAGACCATAGAGGGGAACAATATTGACATCTGTGTCTTTTCTTGCAGAAGATGCTTCCTTGCAGTCAGAGAACAAAAAAAAAAGTACAAAGAAAGATTTTGAAATCGACTTTGAACAAGATGTTAACTTTGATGTAAATTTTCGGAAAACAAAGGTTTGTGCTGTATTTATTAGCAGTGGTGCTTCCTTAAATTGCTGTTTGCACTCTTTCTTACCTTTTAGGATTTGATTTTTAAAAATTCAGTCCCTAGAGGGATTGAAAAATAGTCCCAAATCCAGTTTCAGAAAGAATCAAATTTATCGTAAGGGGAATAATGTTTAACAAAATCAAATTTTTATGTAGACCTCTGGGAACTGTGATGGTAGACTTTACTGGTTGCTGTCAACTTGACTCTCAACTTCTAACAAGCCTTTATGAGTCCAAGTAGTACTGTTCTCCATAGGGCTTTCAATGGTTGGATGTTGTTTTGTTTTTTTTAAGTAGTTCACCAGGTCTTTCTTCTGAGGTGCCTCTTGGTAGATATGAACTGGCAGTCTTTTGGTTAGGAACTAAAAGTATTAACCATTCGTACCATCCAAGTAGATTACTGCCACCCAAACACTTCCTCATTTCCTTAAAAAAAAAACCACAAAAAACTTTATTGATGATGCCTCAAAATGACTCTTTCATTATTAATAGGCTGCTACCATTCTGACCAAGTCCACTTTGGAGAATCAGAACTGGAGAGCCACCACTCTTCCTACAGATTTCCACTATGAGGTCAATAATCTCGTCCAGCTGCATCTCAAGCCAGGTATCAAGGTAAGGCTGTTCTGACCCATAGCAGCCATAAAAGGCAAAGTAGAATTGCCCTGGAGGGTTTCCTAGGATGTCCTCTTTACAGGAGCAGATCACTAGTTCTTTTTCTCTCAGGGAGCTGCTGAGTGGATTCAAACTTTCATCCTTTCAACTAGTAGTCAAGCGCTTAGCCATTGTGCTACCAGAACTCCTATTTAGGGAGTATCACATGACTGCTAGATGGGGCCTTTTGCAGGACAAGAGAGAGTATACAGAGGGTTTGTGGTAGCCAAGGGAGATCACTAGGAGACTGAATGGGTAAGGCAGAACCAAAGGGGAAGTGTATAGGGGAGATACACATTCAAGATTTGGAAATACCTCAACTATTTAGGATGCTGGACACTGACACCCACATGCATAAATGATAGTGGTTTTACATCTTTAAAGTTATTTCTGGATTCTCTCACTTTCTCATTGAAGTTGTGGATTCACTGGTTTGATGCTGTATGCAGCCCATGTGTTCTCACTCATTGCCATGGTATAGAAGTGAACCCACAGTGACAAGGAGGGGGTTTGTAGTGTGTAATGCATGTGGCTGTGTCAGATTTCAGGTTCCCTAGTGCCGCACAGCCCTCCCTAGGCTCCTTCCAGGACTGTTAGATGAAGACCTCTAGCCCACCTCATGTTCCACTGTGGGTACTGTTTACTTCATTTGCCTATAATAGGTGCCAGGGTAAGGCTTTGGGTTCATGCCAAGTCCCATTTTATTTGGACCCTCTGTTCACTTGCATTCCTGGCTTGTCCTATGAATTCTTAGGGTACCAAGAATACAGATATTCAACACTTTTCTCTTCTGCCTGTTTCTTTATGAGGTCTTAGTTATATGTATGATATTGTTGTTGTTATTAAGTGCCATTGGGTTGGTTCCGACTCATAACGACCCTGTATAGGGTTTCCAGGGCTGTAAATCTTAGCAGGAACAGAAAGCCTCATCTTCCTCCAGCCAAGTGGCTGGTGGACTCAAACCACCAACCTTGTGGTTCGCAGTCCAGTGCTTATTCTACAGAGCCATGATGCTTCCATGTATTATATTAATTCCCCTGATTTCTCATTCTCTTTTTATAAACCAACTCATATATTTTTTTCTTCCTGATCAATACTGTTGACATAACAGAAATACTCTTAAAAACACAGAAAAGAGATGCAAAGTTGAAACACTAGTGGAAACTGGCTGTGGTCAATATTGGTTAGCACCCAGCAGCCGCTTTCTCTTATTAAAGTACACATCGGGCCTTGAGGCAGAATAGCAGAGTTGTACTGAAAGACAAAGAGAGAATGTTTTTTCTGAGCCCTTCTGGGTAGGAGCCTTGTGGTATTGCATGCTGGAGCTGTTGTCCATGACACTAGCCACCATCCTCTCCCTCAGCCCTTCTTCTTGTTAGCTGCCCTTGAGTCACCAGCCCAGTCCTGCATCATCCCTGTGACTGCTTGTGATCAGATCATTGTGAGCCATAGGATTTTCATTGATGGGTTTTTTGAAGTAGATCTCCAGGCCTTTCCTCCTAATCTGTTTTATTCTGGAAGCACCCTCCCCCCAAAAACCTGTTCAGCATCATAGCAACACACGGAACCAAGTACTGACAGCATGTGGTTCATTGGCTGTGAATGGAACCTCTTTAGAATTCTACCACTGAATCATCAGTTTTGCTTAAACCGTTATTAGCATTTCAATAATTTGGCCTATTTACATATCCAGATGTGCAGGTATTAGAAGTCATTGGAGCATTTCAATCCAGGAGCTGTCCCCATCCCCATCCCTAAACAATTGTTTTACAAGGGAAAGAACTTCTATTTCTGATTTTCCACAGGATTAAATTTCCCTGGCATAGTAGGGCAAAGAAGCCTGGTGTCAAGGTCGGAGGTTCAAACCCAGTAGTCACTCCACAGGAGAAAGATGAGGTTGTCTGCTTCTGTCAAGAATTACAGTCTCAGACACCCTGTGAATGGGCACGATCATTTGGAGTTGATGCAATGGCAGAGGGTCTTTTATATAGTAGGGCAGCCAGGCAGCGGAAGCCAGAGCTCTCACGTTGTAGCAGAGCTACACCAGGAAATGACTATTAAACACTGACACCTGAGCTTGGTTCTATCCAGACTAACCATACATTCAATTTCATATCTGGAAAGTGGATTTAACTAGGTAATATGTGAGGGGAACCCTATACCCTTCCAAGGGAAACATTCCTTGTAGAGTGTGGACAATTTAGAGTGTGTCCAGAGAAGAATATTCTAAATGGAGAGGGATTTAAAAATTGTGTCATGTGAGGAACAGTGTAAGAGAGTGAGCATTTCCTAATTAAATCAATATTTATTGTTTCATATTATTTTTGGATTTGTATTACAAAAGCATTGTGAGGGTTTTTGTTGGGTGGGGGTTGTTTCTCAACGTGTAAAGCTGTATGAACATACTCAGTGTGCTTTTGTAAGCTTTACAAACCACAAACCTGACTTTCCTCTCCCCAGAGTCACACCCCAGGTGAAAATCACTGCTCTATGGTGGTGGTGGTGTGCCATGAAGTCGGTTCTGACTAATAGCGACCCTGTACAGGGTTTCTGAGACTGTAAATCTTTATGGGATCAGAATGCCTCATCTTTCTCCCATGGAACAGCTGGTAATTTCAAACTGCTGACCTTGAGGTTAGCAGCCCAATTTGTAACCAGTACACTACCAGATCTCTTATGCACCTGTGAAAATTGAAGATGTATGGTTTTCCCAAAAGAGGAGGCAAACTTGTTCTGTGGAGGCAGAGCACGGACTGCTGGATATAATTACAGGGAGAGGAGCTACATGTTTCTCCCTTTAGCCAGGTAGGGAACACTGGTTACTTACTACCTAGGACTGGGACAGGTTGCCTGCAAATGAAAGGAGTGAGTTTTCTATCAAAAATTTCAATCAGTAAAGTAACTTCTTTACAGAAAGCTATAGATAGGACTTTCTAGCTTTGGTTTTATTTTTAATAAAAGCCGTGACCATGGAGTACCTTCAGACTCATAGTGATCTTATCGACTGTGGGGTTTCAAGAGCATTCTTATGGAACTACCCCATCTTGCTCAGAAGGACAGTTGAAAAGTTGATTGGAGTAGATGATTTAGGAGGGTCTTTAACTGAATTCCTGTAGTTCGAGGATGAGGTAGATCACAGAAACTGTTTCCCCAGATTTTCTAGAAATTTTCTGAATTTGTTCTTTCTTTTATTCTAGTTACTTAAGATGGCCCAGGCCCAGAAGACAGGAACTGAGCAATATGAAGAAATTGAAGACTATGATTACAACAACCTTAACGACACCTCCAATTTTTGTCCTGGGTTACAGGTAAAAGAGAAGACTCTCTTCTAAGCAGAAGAGTCTTGCTTTCCTGCTTCCTGTCTCCACCTTTTCCTATCTGTTGAAGGGTGTAGGATGTTCAAAATTAGTGAGAGTTCTGTGGATGTGGGGTGTGGGATGCCTCAGGTATCAGGGGACTGAGCAGAGCTGAGACCAAGGCCTCCACCTTGGCCTGCCTTGCATAAAGCCCTACATGGAGGAGGTGAATTGGCATACCCAGTAAATCAGCCTTGAGATGGAGCCAGAGCCTATGAAACCCTTACCTTGTCTTTTGGAATTGCCAAAGAATACGAAATACAAAGGTGCAACTGTTGGTCTTTTCCCTTACGGAGCAGAGAAGACTAGAGAAAATCAAAGATGCCAGGAGACAGTTAGTTCAAAGGATTAAATGGATCACATGAACCCCAGCTCTCACAACCTTGAGATCAAAACTAAATGGTGCTTGGCTGCCACTGCTAACCACTCTGAAAGGGATTACAATAGGAGGTCCTGGATAGAATGGGAGAAAAATGTGGAACAGAAAGCAAATTCATAAAAAAAGACCAGGCTTATTTATGACCCCCAAGACTATGGACCTTAGACACCCTTTAAGGCCTGGAACTGAACTCACTCCTGGGCCTCAATTTTCAGTCAACCATAGACCTTCCAAAATGAAATGGTGGCATTTGCCCAGTGCTGAATCTCAGAAGGCAGGACAAATGGCAATAGTAAACATAGGGCAGACGTGGGAAGACTTGTTACACTGTGGGGATTGCAATCCGTATCACAAAACAAAATATGTATGAATTGTTGAATGGAAAACCAATTTGTTGTGTAAACTTTCACCCTAATCACAATGAAAAAGTTGCAATAATTTTTTTTTAAAGAATAGAAACCATTCTTGCCCTTAGAAGCTAATCTTTGGCTTGGGAGATAAAGATCTGTGAAGGTGGTGCATTGTCATGGGAGGGATAGGATGTGTGGAGTGAACCTTTAAACCTCCAGCTCTGAGTTTGCTTCACATATTATGAATTTGTGTGAAACACTCCGTATCCCACAAGGGTTTGAATTCACTAATCCTGATAGCTATGAGTCTCATAATGATTCAGAAAATATGAGTAACAGAAAAGAAGAAATAGTAGGCCTTAGTGTAGTGGTTATGAATCGGGCTGCAAACCGCAAGGTCAGCAGTTTGAAACTAACAGCTGTTCTGTGGGAGAAAGATGAGGCTTTCTGCTCCAGTAAAGATTTATAGCCTCGGAAACCGTGTACAGGGTCGCTATCAGTCAGAACCGACTCCACGGCACATATCAACAACAACAACAACATCAGTACAAGGGAGATGAAAAAGAACTGGGAGAACAAATGCATTCCCCTGATTTTCTTACTTAGAGAGTTAGGATGTTATAGTTTAGTGAAAACCCATGCTGCCCTCTGTACCAATGCTTCTTCAACTTTAGTACTCACCTGGGAAGCCTTTTAAAGATGAACAAATTAATAAAACAAATATTTAATTACTGATAATGACTTTATAATTATCCATTTTAATTACCCTTTCAAATGAGAATTACCTGGGGCCCACCTCCTGAGATTTTGATTACTCAGGCTGAGGCAGGTCCCAGGAGTGTGACTTTTTCACAGACTCCTGGGTAGTGTCCTTTACTTTGAGGAGCACCGTCTAGACGCCCTCGGGATCTCCTGTGCTCATTGGGTGAGGAGTGATGTTGATCACAGAACTGATTCAGTGGTTCATCTCTGGTGTTTCAGTAATGCTTTTGGTAAAATGAAATCTTAAATTGGTCAAAGATCAAAAGCCAAAGGGAACACTGTGGTAGTTAGGAGTATTAAATTCCTTTTAACTCCATCTATAGGGATCTCTAGGTGGCTAATAAATACCATCCTAGTTGGGTTTATTTAGAAGTATAACTCAAGGCACCTACAAGTTCCTCCTAGGTGGGATTCCCTTCATGCACTCCCAGGATAACTCTCGTCTTGCTGTGCAAAGGACATTTCTGAGCTTTTCCTGACAGCCTTCTGCCCAACTTTTAAGAGCTGTTTCCTTACCTAGGCTGCTGACAGTGATTATGAAGAGTCAGATGACTTATTTGTGGGACCAGCTGGGGCCTTTGACCTTACACCTTATCCTTGCCATTCACCAAAGTCAAAGCAAGAGAACAATGATGCTCCTGAATCCCAAGGATTAGAAATTACAACCTACAGGGAGTCAAATCTGGTAGCTGAGCCTCAGAAGGTAAGGACTGAGCAGCCAAGTATTATTACATCACTTGCCTAAGACCTACTTACTTTGCCTCTTTTGTAAGAGTCATGCCAATCTTGGCTTGATTTTTTTTTTTCTTCTCAAGTTTAACCAGTAGTTCACCAAGTAGCTAAGTCTTAAATAGGGCTGTGGGAAGTGTGGGGAATAGATTTCTGTAGAACGGACAACCCCTCCAAAGATCTTGATATGGTGTCAGTGTGAGTCATATGACTAGGGCAGAATCTATCACAAAATATGTGAATGAAGGCTATACACAGAGAAAATGACTTTATACTAATTGGGTAAGGTTAGCTTTGGAGAATCTTGGCCAAGATTAACTTGTATTAAATTAGCCTGCATTAAACACCACCTGTCTTTTCCATATCAGGTGAAAGCCTTGGTACGTTCATATATGTGTAGGTATATGAGGGTAAGTCAAAAAGTATTGCTATAAAAATCATAGAGCCCTTAATTAAACAAAAATATCAAAATGTGAAGCTATTGTATTTCAGCATATCTTCCATCTTGGCCTACAGACTTCTGAAAGTAGTATTTCTATCTCTAACTCTTCCCTGAAGAATTCTACTCTCTTCCATTTATACCACATCAAAATGGCAGTTTGGGTGTTCTTGTTCATTTTCAATGTTTTTTGAGAGTTTTCTGGGAACCAGAAGAAGCCTGAAGGGACAAGATAAGGGCTGTAGAGTGAATAGAGTTAAGTTTCCTAATGAAACTCTCCTAGGACAGCCCTTGTTAGTCTTTAAGAATGAGCAGGTGCATTGTTGTGATGGAAAAAATACTCCAGATTACTACTTTCCTGACATTTTTCTCATCAGTGCAGTTTTCCATTTTCTTAAAACGTTTTACTAATAAACCCCTATAACTATTCTGTGCCCTTCAAGATAATCTATTATCCCTTTGGAGTCCCCAAAAGTAGTCACAATAACCTTCTGAGCTGACCTGTCTGCCTTGACTTGACTGGCCCAGTAGATGCCCTCAGAAGTCACTGTTTTGATTGGATTTTTTTGAAGGCACTCTAGCAAGCCTAAGACAAATACACACATTATAAGAGAACTTTCCTGAAGCCAACCGTCTGCAGATTTCAGAGACATGTTTAAACACTTTTTGTCTGGAATACACTTGTGCATGTATCAGCCAGAATCCTAGAAGTGATATTTTCTACTTACCCTTGTATTTGAATCACTTCTCTCCTTCACACTGGAATTCTAGGTTAGCCTTAATGGAGATTGCATTTGATCAAAAGAAATTAGATTTGAGATGAGGGACTCTACATATTAGAACAAAGTAATCCTTTAAATGCAGTTACTTTATATGAACTCCAATCTTTGGATTTTACAGTGAATTGATGTGATGGAATGTACTTTCCTTTTGCTTAGTTTTGTTTTGTAATTACTTATTTCAGGTAAATAAGATTGAAATTCAGTATGCCAAAACTGCCAAAAAGATGGACATGAAGAAGTTGAAGCAGAGCATGTGGGGTTTATTAACAAAATTCTCAAAGAAGCAAGCTGATGCAGAGGTACGGGGGTTTCCACTGTCTTTAGATGCCCTGCTGTGTGGACACTGGATTGGTTAATAGTTCTAATACTAAAAGCATTCACTCAAAACTAAGGAAAACACCAAATCTCTGAAAGATATGAACCAAGTATATGAACAAGCAGGTCACACAAAGGCAACATAAATGGGAGATGATTTGCTTTCAGTACTGAGGCTAAGAAAACAATCATAGTTTTTATTCACTATTGATTCAACTTTGATTGATAGCTGACCCTTTTCAACAGCAAATTAGAATTTTGTATCAGGTGGCATAAGTGGTTTTACTCTTTAATAATTCTGATTTGTGGGATGTATTCTAAGTAAGAAAATTGTAAAAAATAATAACATATACATACATACGTACATACATATGTTGATTTAAGTGCTGTTGACTCATAGTAACCCTGTATAAGGTTTCTGAGGAACAGCTATATAAGGTTTCTGAGGAGTAGGTTTAAACTGTCGACCTTGTGGTTTACAGTCCAGTGCTGATTCTACAATGCCACACCAGGAGTCATGTGTGTGTGCATCAACAGTGTGGGCAGAGGTGTGCAGATGTACATTGTCATGCAAGATCACAACACCTTTGGACAGCAGTCCTCTGTGTTTAATCTGAAGTTTAGGCTTCAGCTTTTCAGTGAGCATCTCACTGTAAGGAGCACTGTTGATTGTTGAATATTTTTCCTGGTAGTGATCCCACAGTGGCTCTTGAGAATCCCAGAAAACTGTAAGCATCAATTTACCAGCTGATGGTTGACTTTTGAACTTTTTCTTGGTTGGTGATTGAGGATGTTTCCATTTCATACTCTGCCATTTACTCACAGGCTCGTAGTGATGAATCCATGTCTTGTCACCAGTAACGATTTAAAAAAAACAACAAACTTACCTTCCTTCAAGTATTAGTCCAAATTTTATTTGCAGAAGTCTAAACACTTCTTTTTATGCTCTCCCATGAGTTGTTTCGGTACCCATCTTGCAGAAACTTTTCAAAACCTAAGTCTGTATGGACTGTTTAATAGGCAGAGCCATGGCTGATTTACAAATGATTTGCTGCATAATCCACTGTCACTCGTCTTTTCGACAGACTTATTTCATATGCACACTCAATGCTGTCATCAGCCTTTGATGTGGACAGGTGTTTTAATATAACCAGAGTGTGGGTAATTTTTTTTTACTTAACCTTGTATTAGATTGCCTCTTTTCTCCTTTAGAGAAAGGAGAATACCTTGATTAAGTACAATTAAGTGGAACTCTCATTTAGTGAGAACCCTTCCACCTCCTCCATACACCTGCTCCAAGAATACTTCGAGTCATCCAAACTCAACCTACCCACTCTCTTAGACCTGCTGCTGCTGCCTGAACAATTCATGGTTCAATGGTGACTGCTGAGCTACACACATGGTATCAGATAAAGTTTCAGTCATAGTCATGGGTTTTATCAAGTAAAACCGAGTAGCATGCAAATGTAAGAATGATGTACTTTTTAAAAAGTAGAGGAGGGTCCTGTTTAGTCATTAAATTTAAGTGATTAATGATACCCTCCCTCCCAGGAATTCTGATTAATTAAGGATTTCTTCTTTAAGGGTAAAAAAGAACTATTAGGAAAGTATTCAAACATATACAAAAGTAAGAGAAGCGTAGAATAACTCTCATAAGATGGGCATGGGGGCTGTGTCTGAACTCTGACTTCACCAGAGGAAAGGAGAATGAAACTTGAGAATCAACCCAAGGCCTATGAGGCAGAGGTCAGACATGTCTCCACCTTGATAATTCGTTGTAGTGATCCCACAGAATTCACAGGCAATACTTAGGATTCCAGGGTTTATTAGGGAAGTTAACAGGTTACAATTCAGAACCAGAAATACTCAGAATATAGTTATTTGGTCAGAACAACCAATGTTTTTGATTGTGCCTGAAGGCATGCCTTTCTCTCAGCCATGCAGCTCCTTGGTCTCTGTCCTGCTCGGGCATATTGTTACCAAGCTCTTTCAGAACTGCCAATCAATGCCCAAAGTGTACTCCACTCTGCCATAAGCCTCAGCCCAAATACGCTTGGCTCTAGCCCCAAGGCTCAGCAAACCTAGCTCCTCTGATAAGTACTTGGAGGCAACTTGCTCTGCCATTGAGCCTCCGCCCAAAGGCACTTAGCTGTACTCACTCCATGGTCCAGGAAGCCCACTGTCCTGTCTCATGCTCTTGGTTCTGCTGTCGCTGCTTCTCTGCCACTCCTCTGGTGATGGTGGCGAGAGCCCCTGTTCCAGCTTCTGAGAGAACTCCTTTTATACCCATTGGGATGGCAAATTTGACCAATCCTAGGTTAGAGTTTTAAGTTTTTACAACCACAACTAACCCTGTTAAGATCACTCACAACTGAATTATACAATCCAGAAGACCCATCAGGAAAACAGGAAGTACACCTAATTTGCATGTCCCAACAAGTCATTTGGTGGGAGTTACTGTCGGTCTTCTTGTTAAGTGCCTCATGGTTCAAACTGACTTTGCAGTCTAGCACATTAACCCACAGTACCACACCAGGACTCCACAAAGACTGTCTAGAAGAGCCATATCAAGTAAATCATTGCACCTCAACCTCCATTCCCAGCAAGGTTTTGTCATTATGGTTGCCTGGCTCTACCTACTTTGTCTCCCTTTGTACATATTCGGAGTTATTTGAATATAAACCCCAGACATGATACTCTTTGATAACTGCTTGCCTACTGGTAAGAAGATGGCAGGTTATTATTATTGTTTAAGTGGGAAGCTTGAGTCTGTTTTTAAATATGCTTTCTGTGCTGCTCTTAGCTGTGGAGTCCAGTTGAAGGTCAACCAGGGGTGGAGAATGTCTGGCCCACATGTATAAGGCCTACGAAATTTGGTCTGGCCCTGCCAAGGCAACCACAGTTCTAGCCATCGCATTGTTGGTGTGAAGTGCTGTCGTGTTGAGTCCGATCCATAGTGACCCTGTATAGGGTTTCCAAGGAGTAGCTGGTGAGCATGAACCACCGACCTTGCAGTTCAAAGTGACTTTGTAGTCCAGCACGTTAACCCACAGCGCCATACTATGCCTTCACATCGTTGTTGTTAAGTGCTTTTGAGTCAGTTCTGACCCATAGCGACCCTGTATAGGGTTTCCGAGGAGTGGTTGGTGAAGTTGAACTGCCAACCGTAGACTTCAAACAGACCTTGTAGTCCAGTGTGTTGTCCTGCAGTGCCACACCAGGATTCCAGCCATCACATTAGGGATGAGTTAATGAAATGTTTGACCAAATATAACCGGGGGGTGGGGGGGGTAAGAGATTGAGAGACTCTATGGGTCAGAACCGACTCGATGGCACTTAACAACAACAACATATATATATTCACATGTTGTTGTTAAGTGCCGCCAAGTCTGTTCCAACCCATAGCAACTGTATAGGGCTTCTGAGGAGCAGCTGGTGAGCTTGAACCACTAACACTGCAGTTCAAACAGCTTTGCAGTCTGATGCGTTAACCCACAGAACCACACTAGTACTCCCAAATATGTACATGCCCATATATACATACACACTAATACACACAGAACATTATTAATACAACATACATGTGTATACATATATACACATATTATTGTTACTGTTTTTAAGTGCTGTTGTGTTGGTTCTGACTCATAGCAACCATATATGGGGTTTCTGAGGAGCAATTGATGGGTTTGAGCTACCGACCTAGTGGTTAGCAGTCTAGTGCATATCGTATAGCACCAAACCAGGACACCACAAATATATATGTGTGTGTATGTGTATATATATATATTGTTGTTACGTGCCATGGAATCGGTTCCAACTCACCTTGTAAAGGGTTTCCGAGGCTATAAATCTTTACAGGGAGCAGAAAGCCTCATCTTTCTCCCGCAGAACAGCTGGTAGTTTCAAACTGCTGACCTTAAGGTTCTCAGCCCGATTTGTAACCAGTACACAACCAGAGCTCTCTCTCTCTCTCTCTCTCTCTCTATATATATATATATACACACATGCATATACATATAGATACATACACATATATATACATAGTTGTATTAATGTTCTGTGTGTATTAATGACCACAGGCTAATTTTTAAGTTGATAATTTGTATGGCCTGTGAATGAGGTTATAAATTTTGTCAGTAGAAATGTTCCCCACCTCTGCTCTAAACGGTGCTCTTTGTTTGATTGCTTTTTGTTTCCCTAAGGACTCTAGAAGCCTCTTTGCAATTTCTCCTTTACCAGGACATCACACTTACCATCAATAGCATCCTAGTCCAGGGCTGAGGTGCTGCTTCCCTGTATGTAGATCCCTTTTATCCTGCTTTCATTCCATGTAGACTTCTTTTTGGACATGCAGCTTTGTACATTACTCTTTCAAAAATGAACTGTCCCTAAATATCAGATGTAAATGACCTTCCTCTGTAGGCAAACCACAGTGAAGTGGAAAAAAGGGAGGACCTGCTGGAGGTGGCTGATGAGAAACTGTTCAGTGGACTCACAAAGGACCTAAAGACGAGGTGCGTGCCGGCAGTGCAGGGCGCTTACTGCCTCTTTGCTGGGAGTTCTGTCTAAGAGGGCTCTGGCCTCAGCTAGTTGGGCTGTTCCTTCCCACACGACCTACTGTGTGGTCACTGTATCTAACACTTTTAGCAGTTTTTCAATTTCTTCTCTGTGCTAATGAATAAATTAATATAGGCCAACCTGGCTACTTGTAAAAGACATTTTTTATTCTAATGATGGGAAGGAAGTGAGATTTTTTTTTAATTTAAAAAGAGGAACCTGAAAAACCTGCTTATTAAATGCACCTGAAACATTTCATTGTTTCTTGTTAGTTTACTCACTGCACATGTGTCGTTCATACCTGATAAAAGAGCTTTTGTTCTTAGAATTGTGATGACTGGGTGTAATACTTGGCCTTTGTTTCACAGCCTGCCTCCCCTCATGGCTCAGAATCTCTCCATACCACTGGCTTTTGCCTGTCTGTTACATTTAGCCAATGAAAAGGTAGGTAAAGCTGGTAAGCATGGGAACAGTCCCCATTTGTGCCATTCCATCTGAACTTTTTATTAGATCTTGCATGGGTTAACTTATATTGTTGGTGTTAGGTGCTATCAAGTCGGTTCTGACTCACATCAATTCTATATACAACAGAACAACACACTGCCTGGCCCAGTGCCATCCTCACAATCTTGTCTATGTTTGAGTCCATTGTTGCAGCTGCTGTTATCAATCCATCTCATTGAGGGTCTTCCTCTTTTTCTCTGGCCCTCTACCAAAGTATGTCCTTCTACAGGGATTTTTCCCTCCTGATAACATGTCCAAAGTACTTGAGTCTTGGCATTGTCGCTTCTAAGGAGCAGTCTGCCGTGTTTCTTCCAAAACAGATTTGTTTGTTCTTCTGGCAGTTCATCATATATTCAATATTCTTTGCCAGCACCATAATTCAGATGCATCACCTCTTTTCCATTGTTCCATATTCACTGTCCACCCTTCACATATATATGAAATACCGTGGCGTGGGTCATGCACACCCTAGAACTCAAAGTGCCTTCTTTGCTCTTTCACACTTAAAGAGGTCTTATGCAGCAGATTTGCCTATGTAGTAAGTTGTTTGGTTTCTGACTGCTGCTTCCATGAGCATTGATTGTGAATCCAAGTATAATGAAATCCTTGACAATTTCAATCTTTTCTCCATTTATAATGATACTGTTTACTGGTCCAGTTGTGAGGCTGTTTGTTTTCTTTGTATTGAGGAGTAATCCATACTCATGGCTGTAGTCTTTGACTATCACTTAGTGTTTCAAGTCCTCTTGCTTTCAGCAACTAGGTTGTATCATCTGCATATCACAGGTTGTTAATGAGTCTTCCTCCAATCCTGATGCCATGTTCTTTATATAATCCAATTTCTGGATTATTTGCTCAGGATACAGATTGAATGTTGTGGTTGTTGTTAAGTATCATTGTGTCAGTTCTGACTCATAAAGATCCTGCATAGGGTTTCCAAGGAGCAGCTGATAGGTTTGAACCACCTGCCTTGTGGTTAGCAGTCCAGTGCTTATTCTATAATGCCACATATGCTGAAAAGGATACAACCCTGATGCATACCTTTCCTGATTTTAAACTATGCAGTATCACTTTGTTCTGTTCTAACAATTGTCTCTTGATCTCGGTACAGGTGCCACATGAGCATAATTGAGTATTCTGGAATTCTCATTGTTCTCAGTGTTATCCACCTATACTGTATAGTCAGTAAAACACAAGTAAACATCTTTAGTATTCTCTGCTCTTAGCCAAGATCCATCTGACATCAGCAGCGATTTACCTTACTCTACGTCCTCTTCTGAGCCTAGCTTGAATTTCTGGCATCTCCTTATCAATGTACTACTGCAACGGTTTTTGATTTATCTTCAGCTAAATTTTGCTTTGTGTGCTATTAATGTTATTGTTTAATGATTTCCACGTTCTATTGGGTTACCTTTCTTTTGAATGGGCACAAATATGGATCTCTGCCAGTCATTTGGCCTCATAGTTGTCTTTCAAGTTTCTTGCCATAGATGAGTGAGTATCTCCAGTGCTGCATTCAGTTGTTGAATCATTCGATTTGTATTCTATCGATTCCCGGAGCCTTGTTTTTCACCAGTGCCTTCAATGCAGCCTGGACTTCTTCCTTCATTACCATTGTTCATGAGCATATGGTACCTCTTGGAATGGTTGGACATCGACCAGTTCTTCTCAGTACAGTAACTGTGTATTTCCATCTTCTTTTGATGCTTCCTGTGTCATTTAATATTTTGCCCATAGAATCCTTCAATATTACAAATCGAGGCTTCAGCTTTTTCTTCAGTTCTTTCAGCTTGATAAATGCTGAGCATGTTCTTCCTTTTTTGGATTTCTAACTACAGTTATGCACATTTCATTATAATACTTGAATTTTTCTTCTTGAGCACTACCCTTTTCAAGTTTCAGTTCATCATTTCTTTCATTTGCTTTAGCTTCTCCACGTTCTAGAGCAAATTCCAGAGTCTCTTCTAATACCCATTTTGTTCTCTTTTAAAATTTCCTGTCTTTATAATAACATCTTGCTTTCTTCATGTTTGATGTTCTTGATGTCATTCCACAACTTGTCTGATCTTCAGTCATTAGTGTTCATTGCTTCAGATCTTGAGATGGTCTCTAAATTCAGGTGGGATAATCTCAAGGTCATATTTTGGCTCTTGTGGACTTATTTGAATTTTCTTCAACTTGATCTTTAACTTACATAGGAGCAATTGATAGTCCCTTCCACAGTTGACCTCTGGCCTTGTTCTGGCTACAGATACTGAGTTTTTCCATTGTCTTTTTCCACACACAGTCAATTTGATTCCAGTGTATTCCACCCAATGAGGTCCACTTGTATAGTCACCATTAATGTTGTTGAAAAAATGGTTATTTCCAGTGGATATGTTGTTGGTTTGGGAAAATTCTGTTGAGATCTCCAGCTTTGTTTCTGCCACTAAAGCCATATATTTCAATTACTGATCCTTCCTCTTTGCTTCCAATGTTCACTTTTCAATTATGAGTAATTCTGAGTGCCTCTTGATTGTGTGCTTGGTCAGTTTCAGACTTCAGAAGAATTCTTCAATTTCTTTATTTTTGGCTTTAGAGGTTGGTGTGTAATACGAATAATAGTCGTAGTAACTGGTCTACCTTGTAGGCGTATGTTGTTGTTGTTAAGTGCCATCATGTTGGTTCCAACTCATAGCCACCCTGTATCAGGATTCTGAGGAGCAACTGATGAGTTTTGACTGCTGGCCTTGCGGTTCAAACCGACCTTGCAGTCCAGTGCATTATGCCACAATGCCCCCTACGACGCCTGTGGCATACAGATATTATCTATTACTGACTGCACAGTCCTTCAGAATAGATCTTAGAGTGCTGTTTTTGATGATTAATGTGACACCATTCTTGTCATTCCTGGGATGGTAAATTTTATGATTGTCCAATTCAAAATGCTAGTCTATTTCAGCTTTCTAATGCCTAGGATATCACTATTTATGCATTCCATTTCATATTTGATAACTTCCAATTTTCCTAGATTCATACTTTATACATTCTATGTTCCACTTATGAATGGATGTTTGCAGCTGTGTCTTCTCATTTTGACTTGTGCCATAGCAGCAGATTAAGGTCCTAAAAGCTTTGCTCCATCCAGGTCAAGGGTTGAGTGTCTTTCAAACTGAGGGACTCATCTTCTGTCAGTAAATCAGACACTGTTTTCAGTGACTAATTTTTCAGAAGTGATCTGTCTCTTCCTTCTTCCTAGTCTGTCTTAGTCTGAAAACTCTTCTGAAACCTGCCCACTGTGGGTGACCCTGCTGGTATTTCATATACTGGTGGCATAGCCTGTGGCATCACAGTAACACAAAAGCTAGGACACAGGCGAGTAGTGGTGGCTACTTCATGTGCAATCTTAAATGCAGTCATTCTTGCCGGACTTGTAACCAACAGAATTAACCAAAAGGCCTTCGGATGCAGTTAGCAATGACAATAATGAAGTGGACCCAAACAGGAGATTTGAGCAGTCTTGGGAAATGTATTAGAAAGGGACATTGAATGGTGGCATCACATCACAAAGCAAGGGGTAGGTGGTTTGTGGTCAGTTAGGCAAGAGCCACTTAGAATTACATCCATCTGAGGAAACAGCACTGAAGAGAATTCATTGGGTGGGAAGGTAAGCTGTCTGTGAGGCTGGGAGTGAGGGAAAGTCTGAATACCTCTGGGTGATAGAGAGTGGCTGTTTTGGGCATTATAGAAAGATGAAGTGAGGATGAGAGACTGGAGGAGGGTCCTGGGTATTGAGTGCTGTATGAGGACAGGTCTGCTGGGCCTGGTGAGCTACTGGCATCTTTCAGCTCAAGCTGTCTTTAAGAAATCTATGAGTAGGTCTTGGTGGTAAACAGGACCTGTCTACTTCCTTAGCTCTTTTGAGGCAAATAGCATAGTTCTTGGGCCGTTTACAGTGAGATTATTGTAGGATCCAGATGAGGCTTGTTCTTTGTTTTATTTTTCTTCCAGGCAGTTAGCAAGGATTTAAAGTCAACTTTGTATCCAAATTGTATTTGCTGATAAGATAATATCTTTAATCATAGAACAAACTTCATTCTTGGTAGTAGTCACTACCTTGTTATCTTTATTTATTTTTTTTAATGTTTTATTGTGAATTATATGATAGTTTACATGGGAGAACTTTAGTTTTACATTCATTCCATCGTATATCATCTCATTGC